TTGTTGCATATTTGCAATGATGAGTTTCCAGAGGTTGATATTATAATTTTTACATTTACTTTTTAATAAAAGAAACCACTGATAGTATTCAAAAATTAAATGTAACAAGCGCCAGTATAACTGAGAGGAAGATTAGTGTGAGGATAAGTTTAGAGATCAATTAAGCAAGAAGCCCAGTTAACACAGTGGCAATCATCCACTCTATAAAAGCAGCCCCGCAACATTTATATCAGTAGCGGTTCGGTTTCAATATGCATCTAATTACCAGATAAAAAAGCACATAAAGCATGAAAATAAAATATATCACACTCACCAGATAAGCTGATTATTTATAAACAAAATCCATCCTTCTGTCTTTGTGCAGAAAGTCTTGATATCTCCATGTAATATCAGCCATTGAGGCCAGAATTTTTTTTTTTAACAAGAGCAAAACTAAAATGCAGATTGTCTCTAGCTTAACTTGGCTTTAAAAAGGTTGTTCTAACTGTCCAATCAGAGGAGAGAAAACAATGAGGTAGGGGTGGGCCGCTTGCTGGCCCAGTGGGGCAATTCTGAGATCTGATTGGTTGTCCTCACTAAAATTGTAAAGGTAAGATCAGCCAGCACTGCTGATTCTGAAGGCCCTGGGCAGATTTGATAGCAATGAACTAAAGCTGAAATCTGATTGAACAAAAAATATAGCAACCACCATAAATGTAACTGAAGCAGCACAGCCAAGACATAAGCTACAAAATTAGGAGAACAGATTGTTTGGAATTTAACTAAAGTTAAAAAGAAGAAAATTAAAGTTTAGTTGTTTTTTTTTTATTTAGGTTAGTGTTTCTGAGAGGCTGTGACAGCCCACCACTGTTCAGTTCTAACTAGGGCTGGGGAGCACTGAGATTAATATACTGTAGGTTTATTAAAGAATTAGAGTGAACAAAAGGTAGCTCTGATCCCTCCTACTGGACCTGGGGGCTGTTAATGGTCGTTAGGGGGATCTGATGGGTCGTTAACTCCCTCCTCAAAATGGTTTCAGTCACATGCCTCAGTCAAATGTGAGTCAGGTGAGGGTATGTGACTGAAATAGATAATCAAATATAACAATTTGACAGTATTTTAAGATACATTTTCAGTAATATTAATGTAATAATCTATACACTGATATAATCAGATACTCGTATTTTGGCTGATATCAGACAGATACTTTAATATTTGTTGCATTATTTACTTTAAAATCACCCATCCTTATCTAATAAACTTTAAATATTATTTTATGTTAGAATTTTGTTTTTTTAAATCTATCTATAGAAGCTCCAGTTTTTGCTTTTATATGTTCATTGTATGGTAGTCTCGAAGCAGCTCTCATTTTCTGTTTAAAAAAAACAAAAGGCCATTAATTGTGCCCTTTTCTTGCGACTAAATAAAGCTTGTGACCTGGAGTGTGATTAAGTATGGTTGCGTAAAGAAGCTTTCAAGTTCCCGTGCTCTGATTGAGCAATTCGTTGACGGAAAAAGGCCGATTTCAGCTGATGTTAGTCAGAGCTGAAACCAGAAGCAGCCAGTTGTTCGCCTTCAGAAGGGGAAGTGGTTATATTATGATAGAATTTTAGGAATGCAGGATTTTGAACTTCCATAATACCAATAAATTATTATCAAACGTTCTCAAGGGAAATTTCATCCCTGCTTTCATTGTTGAGTCGATCCTCATTTTCTGGAGTTCTTCATCTTCTCACCTCCCCACCTGCTCCATTCCACACATATAATCTGCCTCCCTCCTATTGTAGGCCTTTCTGTGGGGTTTTACAATGTTAGCGTTTGACTGTTGCTGACCCAAATCAGTCAATCTGTCCCAGAGAATAGTAGAGTCTTCTTTCTTTGTCTTTTTTTGTTTTGCTCCGCTCTCCTCCTCCTATTGTTGGGCGCTGCCTTCATTTAGTGTTTGCTGGTTATTAATAATTGAAGGTTTTGTTCGTGCTTATCCCAATGCAGAGTGGGATCCTGAAAGTGCGGAGTGAGTATGTGGGAGAGCGGAAAGAGGCGGTGGAAAGTGGAAAAAACGGCTCGCTTTTGAAATAAATGAGATTTTACACTCTTGTCAGGAGCTCTGTGAGAAAGTGTGGAAAGAAGAAAGTGGATGAAGAAGGCAGACCTGATTAAAAAGAACAAGTCAGCAGTGCAGAGGTGTTGGATGTGAAATGATGCTCCTGTGTGGGAGCAGGAGCATAATAGGTGCACCCATCTTTTACGCTTACTGTAAGCAAAGATCAAGGAAAAGCTGTGTACATTTCATTCTTCTGTTCTTTATATTTTAGAACAAAACTGCACAAAAGAAAATAACAGTTTTCTGTATTTCAAACCTTAATCCAAACATTTGTTATTGAAATAATAAAATAAAATGTTTCTTTAAGCTTTGTAAATGAAAAACAAAATGATACGGCTTTTGTTTTAAACTGTAGTAGCGCTATTGTTCTAGAAATTCAGCCCTTTTCTAAAATCATCAGTTTAGTAGAGATTTACGTTTTTATTTAAGACCAAAAAAAGGGTTTTCAGAGGTTAAATACTGTTATGAAGGTTTCTCGGTGTGCAAAACTTACAAAGATACAATCCGCCATATTTACAATGTGGCATGTTCGCTTTTACTTTGAAATCTGGTCACCAAAGTGAAGCCAGGAAAGGCTAAGTGGTTTCCGGGGTAACAACAGCTGGAAATCAGGGAGCGCACTGACCTTATAGCAGTGAATCTGTTCAGTTGAGATAGTCTAGGTGCATTTTGTATACTGTTGGTTACAAAATCCTCCAAATAAGACAAACATGTCAACCATGAACATTTGCAATGTTAGTGCTGACTGAAAACACAATGGATCATAATTTCCAGGGCTCTAAGTCCAGAACATTACATTATATTTATTATTATAATTTCATTTCTTATAAAATGTATATTTTATAATTTCATGTTTGGATTATTTAAAATTATTTTATAAAAAGAAAAAAAAAAACAGCAAACAATAACCAGTAGTTTGCTTTCTTTTATTCGATTTTGAAACAGAAAATCCAAAGACTGTGTCTTGTCATGTTTTTGCATTCATGTCCTTTTGCCAGAATAAAACATATTTTTCACATAATTTTAAAGCTTTCTTCTCTAAATTTCTGCTTCACTTGCTGTCTAAAAAGCTGCTCTGAAACAGAAGGCCGCTTTATCATCCTGCTTTAAACTGTTCACCTCTGCTGCCGTCCAGATCGGAAGAAAAAAAGTCGACAATGAACGGCCCAGTTGCAGCTCAGCTACAGTATTTCCAGTAACTCCTGCCTGATTGGTGCCAAAGCTGATAGATGGCCATTAACTAACAGGCGATCAATGTATATCAAATGTTAAAACCAAACAATACCAACCAAACCAAAATAATTCTACATTATCTGTTCTCTATGAGAATTTTTTCCACAATAACATTTTGATGTTGCTCCATCATTTCCTTAAGTCAGATAAATAATGACCAGATTATTTTGAAAAAAGTAATACATAGCATTTTTTTTATACATAGCCAAAAGATATTAATCACAAAACATTTTTTTAGCATATATGCTGAGGATTTGTTCATTTTTTCCTCTTGTAAGGCTTAGCCTGCTGCATCATCCAAGGGTCAGGGTGAGTTTATGCCTGTAGCACCCTGTTTGACTGTCTGCATCTTCCAGCAGGCCCATGGGTGTAGGAGGTATTTATTCTTTATAAAACTCTGCCTGTCTCCAAGGTTTTCTTTTTTGTTTCCTGCCTCCCTTTTAGTCACTGTATTTATGGAGGCGTATATTTAAGGGATGTAACTCACTAACGCTGCACACCTCCCCAAACATATCCTTTGCATATTGAGCCAGGGTGGTGGCAGCATCATTATGTGGGGATGACTTTGACTTGACTGTGGTGAAGGTTTAGCTTCCTTGGGTACAGTTACTCTAAATCAGTGGTTCCCAAAGATTTTCTTCTGGGCCCCCCTTTGGATTACAAGAGAATTTCCACGCCACCCCCCCCCCCCCCCCCCCCCCCCCCCCCAAAAAAAAAAAAAAGAATCAACGGGTCACACACATCGTTCAACCAGATAGAAGAGGATTCTTTGTCTGTGTTATTTTAAACATATTTATTTTTTTTTATTTGTAACAATATTTAACTTTGCTATAATCTATACATTAAAAAAGCCTCTGTGCAAAATGGAGTGAAAACATTGAACAGCTCCCTGAGAGTTTTTTCTTTGTACTTTAATCCTCCCATCTTTTCAGTGGCTGTAGTGAGCCTGCTTTTTGCTGTAGATCAAGCGCTGTTTTTTTTTTTTTTTTTTTTCCCTTCATTCATCCATACCGCTTCCCGCGCCCCCCCCTGCAATGGCATTGCGCCCCCCCTAGGGGGCGCGCCCCACACTTTGGGAACCACTGCTCTAAATCATTTCCACATAGCTTCAGTTGTTTTTTTTTTTTAAATAATGAAACAAGTTCCTAATCAAAGTCCAGACTTATATGCAGCTTTTTTTCCCTCCACTTATCAGATTTCTTTAAGATTTTGGAAAACCTGGTTTCCTTTATCTTTCCCTTTCCAGTTATGCACTCGTCTGTATTAGTCTTTCATCAAATCTCATTAAAGTACATTGGACTTCAAACTTTAAAGGTATAAAAAAGTTGTAAAGAGGTTTGAAAAGTATGGATGTTTTTTTGCAAGGAGTTGAATATATTTGCAGTTTCAGAGATTAAGGTATTCTTGGCAACACAGTTAGTAACCAGTACCTGACTGCATTTAACGCAATACGTTTTGAAAGGTTATTTGCTGCCTGCTTTGGGTGACAATTGGAACTGAAAAACACAGAACATATATTTTCTTTGAATAGGAAATCTGGCTAAGCAACTGAAATGAGCAGAATAATGTGTTGAAACCTCCTATTCACCTTTGTGTTTTACTGTTTCACCATATTCGTGAATTATAACAGTAAACCCTTCTCCCTGTCTTGGTATTAATTAGATTTTCTTCTTGTGTCTCTCAGCCCAGATGATGTTGGAAGCTGCTGGTACATCCTGTTATCGGGCTCAGTTTTCATCAAGGAGTCCATGTTTCTTCCCAGAAGCAGGTAAGATCACCACCATCACCTGATCCTCCAACAACATGCTCACAATACTCTGTCTACTTTCATTTTTATGTTTAATTGAATAATAAAATTCAAACCCTGGTTGTATGAGAACACTATATCCTGTTCTTGTTGCTCACAGCTTTTTATTGTTGAATCCGGTCATAACTAAAAATTGGTCGATTATGTTAAAGGTTTTGTTTTATTTGCTCATAGCTGTGATGTTTTCACTACATTTGATTAAAAGGAAATTGCAGAGAAAAATCTGCAACAATCTCTGCAGTGTATTACCTCTGAGCCTCTGACTTAAAAACCCAAATGTTAAAGGGTTGGGATTTCACTATGGGAGCTGTGATATGTGAACTGTATCTGTGGGCGATGTGGAAACAATGATGGTTTTATCCTGCAGGCTTGCATAACACACCTACGGCCACTCTGAGCCTGAAGCTAACATTTTAGGCAGCGGAGCAGAACTCCTCAGGCTCTATAGCTGGGGTCTAAAGGGGTCATTCTCATTTATTAGGTTGATTTAAGATTTAATTAAAAAAACAACAACATGAATTTGATCAGAAATGTCGATTAGAAGAAGTCTAAAACAAACCCCTCAACCTTTGAGTTCGATTCTGGAGAAGAATTAGCATATTCCGTAAAAATTAAAAAAATATCCACTGGACTTGGTTTTCAAGATTTGAAGACGTTTCGCCACCTCTCCAGGAAGCTTTCTCAATTCAAATGACATTTGAATACGGAATGACTATGACCTGGATGACTGAGAACCTTCATCAGCAAGAATTAGCATATTTTTGCAGATTCAAATAAATGTCCAACTTCAGTTACCATTGAGAAAGTCCATATGTGTTTACTAAGCATTAGCTGCAGTGAAGCAAAGCTGCTTGCTCCATAAGAACGTATTACCTAAATAATAAGCTTATTGCTGGCTGTAATGCTAACCGGTTTCTTCACGGACCTCAAGTTTCTAGGTTTTGGTTTAATATAAATGTGATGCTTTAAATGATTGAAGAGTTGTTTTAGAGTCGATCATTGAGGGTGAAGAGAGAAGCTCCTCACTGAAAATGGAAGGTGGACAAAATGTGAAGTCAAGTATAAACCAAGCTTCAGTTTTACTACCGCAACATGTCATTTGGGCTTAAAATTAACAACAACAAACTACAAAAATTTGTTGGGGGGGATTTGGCAGGGGGGAACTGGAAGGGTTGAATTATAAAACATTATCAGTTGCTTCTGTCACTCATTCCATTGGCTCTGACACTGAGGAAAGAAAGAACAATCTCCAGTCTCTATTCTCTGTCTCGGTGAATTCGTCCTGAAGTTGGCAGTAATGATGACTCTGCATACAGACAGTAGGTGGACTGGCTTGTGTGCTAAAAAACAGTGAAGATGAGGCTGGACTTAAGGAGAAACCCACCGCTCTCTGTAGTAACCAGAGATGATCCTCATAATATACTTTGTAGGATAAAAGGCCACGCAGAAAGTGTACTTCCTGCTGCAAATCAGATTGTACAACCTTTCACAGGAGTTACTGGTCTTCTTTCACACCGCCATCAGTTTGCCTGTTTGTGCTCAGCATCTCTTTGTGGTCTGGCTCTTCTAGAAAACAGAACAGGTCTAAACTACAATGATAATGGATAGTGGCAGAGAGGATAATCACAGCCTTCCATTCTTTTTATCTTTGACTCAAACAGAAAAAGTAGCAGACACTAGACAGTTTCCTTCCTCATTTTATAGCAAGGATAAAATGCTAATCTAAATAATAAGTAAAAAGACAACATCATATTTGTACATATTGCACCTTGTTCTTAGTTTATCTGTATAAAATGTTTCTACATACTATTTGATTTGCAGTTTAAACTTTTAACTCAGTTATTTCAAGTCAACATTTGTTGTTTTTTGTACACAAACCTGGCCAACAAAGTTTAAACTGATCCATTTTCTGAATTTAAGGATGTTTTTCTTACAGAAACCTCTGTTTTGGGTGCATATGGAGCAGTTTCCCTCATTGTTTTACCAACCTCTGTTTTCCTGCGAAACATCATCAGGGACGAAGCTTTGCCACAAATAAATACTTTTTTTCCCTCAAAGTTTGAAAAGACAAAGTTCTTAATTTTTCGTGCACTTGAGACCTTTTTTCCAGCTTCACAAACAATTATGGGAGTTGGAATCACATTTTTGAGCATTTCTTCATAGCTGCTTCGAAATGCTGGACAGAGGATAAATAGAAATTTATCGTGCTTTGCTTTATTTCTGCTCTAAAAAGCAAGTTCTGATGAATGACAGGATACTCTTTGAATGACTCATGACTTTATATTCTTAACCTTCAAGGACATCAGGGACAAAAAAAAAAAACATGCTCAGTTTAAAATGAGAGAAAGATTCAAAACAATTTTAAGGTGACTGCAGATTTCTGGTTCCATACCTGGGAACTCTCACCCCATATTAAAGGTCCTGAGTATTAAAACATGTATACCAGCTCAGTCACAGTCTCATAAGCAGTTAGATGTACAATAATGTCAGGTTTCCATACTTTTTTTTCTCATTAAATGCTTTTCTAAATTAGCACCAGATAGAAAACATATCCGGCTTTATCTAGTCTATGAAGAAGTGCACTGGTGAGGACAAAATGGCTCGTAGGGGGAATTGGTTGTGACACGAGGAACTGACTTGAATCCAGAGGGACTTCCTAAAGCTTTTAAAGATGTGCTGGAATTGGGTTTCAGTCGGACCGTGCCCAGAAATGGCTCTTTGGATCTGGACTGACAGCAAGGTTAAAAACCTGATACGGCTCCATTCTTCTCTCAGTGCTCCTGTCTCTCTGCCTCTGCTCTCCTCCCTAGCAGCTCCTGTGAGATCTGATCTAGGAAAGATGAATGACTTAGCTGTTAAGCGAAGAAGTTAGAGCTCTTTAGGCCTGATTTCACCCCCGTGCGAAATAAAATACAGCTCTTATGAATTAGCCTTTACGAGTGGGTGACAGATTTAAAGCAAGTACAGGTGTGAGGCTTGTTCAGGAGACATTATGTCTTAATATTGGACCTAACCAAATCCTCATAGAGCTGCTTTTCATTTCAGGTTATGAAAATGTAGATTTTATTCTTCACTTTTCCATCTTGACAACCTACAGGGCAGAATGAATGAACGTATAGCAGCAGTTAAAGGGCCAGTACATTTGTCCTTTGTTTTCAAAATGAAAGGAAAACATATTTGCATAAATTCTCATAACTTCTTACACAGTTGTTGAAAAAAGATTATTGATACTTGGTGATATGTTGTCTAGTTTCCTCCAACTTATGGTGCACTATAACATAGCTTGGCAATTCACAGCCACACATCCAGCCCTATGGATGTTTTGGACTTGTAGTGGTTGATAGAAAGTACCAGAGGAAACCTAGATAAAGGGTCTGATTTTGTATAAAATGCTAGGAAAATTCTCTATTAAAAACTGATTATATATATATATATATATATATATATATATATATATATATATATATATATATATATATATATATATATATATATATATATATATATTGTGGTTGTTGGATACAGTATTAATTCAGGAACAAGCCAATGGCTCAAAGTATATTCACTTCCTAGTAAAAGCTAAACAATGGATATTATTTCAACTGGCAGTGACAAGGGTTATTGATTTAGATTAAAATGATCCACACTGGATGATGATCATTAAAGATTCTTTGAAATAATACTACCTCCATCTGAATAGCTAATACTCTGAGGTATGCTATGGAGCCAGTTAGTTCCATATCCCAACGTGTATACAGTTCTGCTCCTGCGTATACAGTCTACACAGAAACTGATGGAGAGAGCTAATATTTTTTTTTTTACCAGAGATTGCATGTTGTATTTTACGATGGTTTGATCTATGAATACACTGATATTAAAATGTTGGCCAATATCCGATAATACTATTAGTATTGCTGTTATTCCTGATAACTGATATTTATCAGTATTGTATCCTATAAATGTTCTTACCCTTTTCACACCATGAAAAAATGACCAATGTGTTGACATTCCTTCTCTGGTTCGCTATATTTCATTAGACAGTATTTGTATTGATTCAAAATACTGTTGAATGTATCTTAAATGTAAAAAGTATTTATACAGAAATGTAAGTTTAATTGCCTTACTTTTCTTAAAAAACTCTTAATCTACAACAGCCGCTAGTTGGCTAGTTGTCACTGTCAAATCTCCCACTATTCAGGAGCTCTGCATCGGCAACTAGATCATTTGAGGTTTTCCAAACCTATATTAGTATAAAAATCTCAAATTATTATCACTGTTAATGTATCCAGATAAATTGTACCATGACATATGTATTGGGGTATGTATTGTAACTAAATTCTGGTCAATTCAAACCCCCACATAAAGTTGTAAGGAAATCATTTTAAACTGTCAAATCATTCTGGCATAAACATGTATATAAATGTACTGTAAATGAATTATATTTCACAGCTAATATACGCAACGGTTGGAATAAGAATAATTTACTTTACCATGCGAGGTATGGGCTCAAACATGTACAGCTGTAAGCCTTCTACATCAAATGAAGCTTCTGCCGCCCTGGCGTCCTCTTCCACAACAACTTCGTCCCGCTTTCCTCCTCTAAATAAAAAATGTACGACGGAGGAGACTCATCCACGACCTGACCGAAAACTCTCCTCCTCTTGCATGTTTCCTCTGTCCATGGCGTTCCTTGACAGTGTTGTTGCTAAGTGCTACTTGGTCCCAATGTAATTTCCCATTGGGCACCTACTAGCACTAAGTTGCTAACTGGTTAGCAAGATGCTTCCAAGAAACCGGCCACAATCAAACTTGCTTGCAAACCTTCAACCACAACAATCCCGCTTTCTTGATAAACAACCAATTACATGAACTTTATTCACTTGTGTAAAGTTGTGCACCAATTGGGAGAATTCGGAAATGCAACTGTTGGAACAGCCGTTTCTCTATGACTTTAATAGGGA